GTTGGACACAATATTATTCCAGGTGAGGTCTGGCCAAAGCAGATCTCACCTGGAATTCTGAATTAGAAGCCACTCACATTGGAATTCCACTTGCTAGAACATGACCATTTATGTTCATGCTTGGTTTGCTGGCTTCCAAGAGGCAACTGCTTGTCCGCTGTAAGAACACTCCACTTGTTTAGAAATTGGTCTGATCTAGAAGATCTATCAGTAAGAACTGACCACGGAACAACAGACTGGTTCAAGATTGGGAAAGGCGTCCGGCAAGGCTGCATCCTCTCACCCAACCTTTTTAACTTGTATGCAGAACACATCATGCGATGTGCGGGGCTGGATGAATGCAAAGCGGGGGTGAAAATTGCTGGAAGAAACATTAACAACCTCAGATATGCAGATGACACCACTCTGATGGCCGAAAGCGAGGAGGAGCTGAGGAGCCTTCTAATCAAGGTGAAAGAAGAAAGCGCAAAAGCTGGGTTGCAGCTAAACATAAAAAAAACCAAGATTATGGCAACCAGACTGATTGATAACTGGCAAATAGAGGGAGAAAATGTGGAGTCAGTGACAGACTTTGTATTTCTAGGTGCAAAGATTACTGCAGATGCAGACTGTGGCCAGGAAATCAGAAGACGCTTACTTCTTGGGAGGAGAGCAATGTCCAGTCTCGATAAAATAGAAGAGTAGAGACATCAGACTGGCAACAAAGATCCGCCTAGTCAAAGCCAGGGTATTCCCTGTAGTAACCTACGGATGTGAGAGCTGGACCTTAGGGAAGGCTGAGCGAAGGAAGATCGATGCTTTTGAGCTGTGGTGTTGGAGGAAAGTGCTGAGAGTGCCTTGGACTGCGAGAAGATCCAACCAGTCCATCCTCCAGGAAATAAAGCCCGACTGCTCATTGGAGGGAAGGATACTAGAGACAAAGTTGAAGTACTTTGGCCACATCATGAGGAGACAGCAAAGCTTAGAGAAGACAATTATGCTGGGGAAAGTGGAAGGTAAAAGGAAGAGGGGCCGACCAAGGGCAAGATGGATGGATGGCATCCTTGAAGTGACTGGACTGACCTTGAAGGAGCTGGGGGGTGGTGACGGCCGACAGGGAGCTCTGGCGTGGGCTGGTCCATGAGGTCACGAAGAGTCGGAGACGACTGAACGAATGAACAACAACATCAGAAGATATACTTATGAAAGTCTATTTCTCAGGCAAAAAGGAATGGTGAGTGAGAAAGGTTTAAGAAGCCCTGGCTTTGATCACATGGCAGCAGCATCAAAGCACCAGAGCGGGGAATTTGCATGTATCCTTGTGTATCCTTGTATATCTCTTTTTAATCATATTGCTTTTTGGGTTGTGAATGACTTTGGGTCGCCTGAGAAAAAAGCAAGGTGCCCATTCTAAGAAAAAAAAAAGTGAACTATAAATCTTAAAAAAATGTTGTTCATTCATTCAGTCGCCTCCGACTCTTCGTGACCTCATGGACCAGAGCTCCCTGTCGACTGTCGCTACCCCCCGCTCCTTCAAGGTCAATCCAGTCACTTCAAGGATGCCATCCATCCATCTTGCCCTTGGTCGGCCCCTCTTCCTTTTTCCTTCCATTTTCCCCAGCATCATTGTCTTCTCTAAGCTTTCCTGTCTTCTCATGATGTGGCCAAAGGACTTCATCTTTGCCTCTACTATCCTTCCCTCCAATGAGCAGTCGGGCTTTATTTCCTGAAGTATGGACTGGTTGGATCTTCTCGCGGTCCAAGGCACTCTCAGAACTTTCCTCCAACACCACAGTTCAAAAGCATCTATCTTCCTTTGTATCAGAAACTAGAGCTGATGTTTTTCATCCAATGCAATTTTCTGAATCAGCATCCCCAAATAACTGAATCTAAGGTTGACCAAAAACTGTTTCGTAACCCTTTTGCTACTAACGTTGGAGAGTGGTCACTGGTCAAAATGCTCCCTGGTCAAGTGATCGCTGGTCAAAAAAAGGTCAGTAACCACTGTACTACACAATCACAGCACTTTCAAACCATGGTATATTGTGCAAAACTTCCATCTTGCATGCTTCCAAGTCATCAAAAAAGTTTTGCCAATGAGAAGCACATGCACATATCCTTGTAGAATATGCAAAATATGAAAAGGCTCATAATTGCAAAGACTGATGGTACACCTGAATATAGGTGTTATATGACAACCAAGATTTCCAGCACCTGTCCCTTCTCCCTTTCCCCTGCATGCTTTACCAAAATCAGCTTTGCCTGTGTGTTTTCTAAGCTTACTCAAGACTTTCGGTTGGCCTGATAAAGGTATTGCCAGATTATCGGCATTGGAACTTGTCTTCCGATCAATGCAGTTTCATTACCGCTCACGTTAAGTAACTGTCCCAGAAAGCAAGTGCAGCAACGGGAACTGGCGTAGATGATGAATGGGAATTCATCCATCTGCAGCCAAAGCAAATATATGATCGATTGCACACCTGGGTTGCAGCCACACTGCATAATTATAACAGTTTGATCCCACTTTAATTGTTTTGGCTTAGTCCTCTGGGATTAGTAGTAGTCTTAGTGTGGTATGTAATGAGAGAGGGAGAAATCTTACGAAGGGTGCAACTAGAATCAAGGCTGTTTGACCTCACGTGAACTGCCATGGTTCAATACCATGGAGTTATAGTTTGATGAGGCACTAGCACATTTTGACAGAGAAGTCTAAAGACCTTAGAAACTACAACTTCCATGATTTCATAGCATTGAGGCATGGCCATTCATTCTACTACAACACAGTTTCTCTACCTGGGGGTCGGAACCCCTGGATCACAAAGGGGGTGCTAGAGGGATCAACAAAGACCATAAGAAAACACAGTATTTTCTGTTGGTCATGGGGTTCTGTGTGGGAAGTTTGGCCCAATTCTATCATTGGTGGGGTTCAGAATACTCTTTGATTGTAGGTGAACTACAAATCCCAGCAACTACAACTGCCAAATTTCAAGGTCTATGTTCCCCACACTCCACCAGTGTTCACATTCGGGCATACTGAGTATTCATGTCGAGGTTGGTCTAGAGCTATTATTGTTTGAGTATGCCTGAATATCAAGCAAAAAGTGGTTTCTAGAAACAATATCATACGAAAGCTGACTGGCACAACCTGGGGATCACAACCAGATACAGTGAAGGCACCTGCCCTTGTGCTTTGCTACTCTGCTGCTGAGTATGCATGCCCAGTGTGGAACACATCTCACCATGCTAAAACAGTAGATGTGGGTCTTAATGAACATGCCACATTATCACGGGTGTCTGCACCCTACACCACTGGAGAATTACACTGTCTAGCCAGTATTGCACCACCTGACATCCGCTGGGAAGTAGCAGCCAATAGTGAAGGGACCAAGGCAGAGACATCTCCAGCTCATCCCTTGTTTGGGTATCAGCCAGCACGTCTACGACTTAAATCAAGAAATAGTTTTCTAAGATCTTCAGAGACACTCGCTGGAACACCTCAGCAAGCGAGAGTCCAAAAGTGACAGGCTCAAACCTAGAACCTCAATCAATAGCTGATACCAAATGAGAGACTTCCTCCTGGGCACACAGAAAACTGGGCGACTTGCAAGGCACTGAACAGACTGTGCTCTGGCACCAAGAGATGCAGAGCCAACCTTAAGAAATGGGGCCACAAAGTGGAATCCATGACATGCGAGTGTGGAGAAGAGCAAACTACAGACCACCTGCTGCAATGCACCCTGAGCCCTGCCACATACACGATGGAGGACCTTCTTGCGGCAACACCAGAGGCACTCCAAGGGGCCAGATACTGGTCAAAGGACGTTTAATCAACTTACCAAGCTTGCAAACGTTGTGTTTTGTGTGTTTGTTTGTTTGTTTGGTTGGTTGTTTTTTGTTGTTGTTGTTTTGTCGTGTTAGGAGCAAGTTGCTTCTGGTGTGAGATAATTGGCTGTCTGCAAGGACGTTGTCCAGGGGACGCCTGGATGATTTGATGTTTTTTTATCATCCTTGTGGGAGGCTTCTCTCATGTCCCCGCATGAGGAGCTGGAGCTGATAGAGGGAGCTCATCCGCCTCTCCCCGGATTCGAACCTACGACCTGTCGGTCTTCAGTCCTGCCGGCACAGGGGTTTAACCCACTGCGACACCGGGGGCCGTTGTTTGGTTAAAAATGTAATACAACTGTCTGGTTGCTCCTGACACGATAAATAAATAAAATAATAAAAATTTGTTTGAGTCCACAGTGCTCTCTGGATGTAGGTGAACTACAACTCCAAAACTCAAGGTCAATGCCCACCAAATCCTTCCAGTATTTTCTTTTGGTCATGGGAGTTCTGTGTGCCAAGTTTGGATCAATTTCATCATTGGTGGAGTTCATAATGCTCTTTGATTGCAGGTGAACTCTAATTCCCAGCAACTACAACTCCCAAATGACAAAGCCAACCTGCATCCCAATTCTACCAATATTCAGATTTGGGCGTATTGGGTATTTGTGCCAAATTTGGTCCAGTGAATGAAAATACATCCTCCATATCAGATATTTACATGGCAATTCGTAACAGTAGCAAAATTACAGTTATGAAGTAGCAATGAAAATAACTTTATGGTTGGAGGTCACCACAATAGGAGGAACTGTATTAAGGAGTCGCGGCATTAGGTAGGTTGAGAAACACTGTACTACAACTTCTAGGAATCCATAGAATCGAGCTTGAAGATGCCTTGTAACAACTGGAGATTCTGAAATCTAGCAACCCTATATAGGTCGCACACTGTCAAGGAAGCTTTCAAATAAATCCACAAGCAAGGCTGGAAAAGCCACATCCATCCTATGCCTGCTGATCGCCTATTGATTGCCACAATTGTTCAAAGGAAAATCCTGCCTTCTGTAGGTTGTGCCACCTTCCATGCAGATTTCAGATATTAAGCAAGTCCTTCCAAAAACTGCTCACACCCTTCTGCTTGTGACATCCAAATATTCCAGGACATTTCGTTTATCCTGCGATGAGATGGTATATAATCCACACATCAAAGATGGACTGGCTCATCTGAACAGAATTGGAAAACCATCAACATGAAGGCTGCATCTTTCCTCATTTCGCTGTTGGTCACCTTTGCCGTGTGCACGCAAATAGGTAAGAACAACATGACATGCTATTCAAACCAAAAACTTGGGGAAGTTGCTCTTTGGAACGACACCTCCCAGCATCCACCAGCCACAATGGCCATTGAGGAATTCTGGAAGGTGCAGTCCATCAAAACTTAATTTCTCCAAGTTCTTAGAAGGAGGGTGTGGAGAATGAAGGATGCATCCACACTGCAGAATTAATGCAGTTTTGACAGCACTTTAACTCAATGCTATGGAATCATGGGTGTTGTAGTTTGGTAAGGCAGCATTTAGCAGAGAGGGCTAAGGCCCTTGTAAAACTACAGATCCCATGATTCTATAAGATTGAGACATAACAGTTAAAGTAATGTCAAACTGCATTAACTCACTTGGGCAGAAAAAACAAAATGCAAAGATACAGAATGGGGGACGATGCCTGGCTTGAGAGCAGTACGTGTGAAAAAAATCTTGCAGTCCTCATGGACAACAAGTTAAACATGAACCAACAATGTGATGTGGCAGGGGGAAAAGCCAATGGGATTTTGGCCTGCATCAATAGGAGTCTAGTGTCTAGATCCAGGGAAGTCATGCTCCCCATGCTCTATTCTGCCTTGGTTAGACGACACCTGGAATATTGTGTCCAGTTCTGGGCACCACAAATCAAGAGAGATATTGACAAGCTGGAATGTGTCCAGAGGAGGGAAACTCAAAGGATCAAGGGTCTGGAGAACAAGCCCTGTGAGGAGTGGCTTAAGGAACTGGGCATGTTTAGCCTGAAGAAGAGAAGGTTGAGAGGAGACATGCTAGCCATGTACAAATATGTGAGAGGAAGTCACAGGGAGGAGAGAGCAGGCTTGTTTTCTGCTTCCCTTGAGACTAGGACATGGAGCAATGGCTTCAAACTCCAAGGAAGGAGATTCCATCTGAACATTAGGAAGAACTTCATGACTGTGAGAGCCGTTCAGCAGTGGAACTCTCTGTCCCGGAGTGTGGTGGAGGCTCCTTCTTTGGAAGCTTTTAAATAGAGGTTGGATGGCTATCTGTTAGGGGTGCTTTGAATACAATATTCCTGCTTCTTGGCAGAATGGGGTTGGACTGGATGGCCCATGAGGTCTCTTCCAATTCTATGATTCTATGATTATATCATTCTATGTGTAGATGCACCTGAAGTCAGCCAAAATAAGACAAGGAATACTGAAACTTCACCTCATTTTCAAGTGGTTTTCTTTCCTATCATGTCAGAAGCAATCCCAAGTCGCTTCTGGTTTGTGAGAATTGGCCGTCTGCAAGGTTGTTGTCCAGGAGATGCCCGGATATTTTACCTTCCTATGGGAGGCTTCTTTCATGTCATCACAAGGGAAGCTGGAGCTGACAGGTGGGAGCTCACCCCATCTCACTGATTCAAACCACCAATCTTCAGCAGTTTAGCTGGCACAAGGATTTAACCCATTGCGCCTGTTAAAAATATATAGTGCCAGACTTCTTAAGTATGCTACTCCTCTCTGTGTTTACATGGCATCCATTTCCATTGATTTCTGCTAAAGTTTGGCATTGATTTCAAACCAACTTGTCACAGACCTGTTTCTATTATTTTTAGCAAAAAGGTGGCACAGTGAAAGAGGAATCACTGGGGGAGGAAAAATCTGGTTCTTGAAAAACCTAAGCTCTGTTTCTTAGCACTTCCAAAGATAGAAAATATCAATGCGAAGGATTGTCATTAGAACAGAGCGTCTAGTACTGGAGATACTAAAAGCTCTGTTGATTCTCACAAATACTTTGGCCCAGAGATGAATAACTGTAACTCTATGTGTGCCCAGGGTACAAATCTATGTGTGGAGGATCCTTCTTTGAGAGCTTTTAAACAGAGGCTGGATGGCCATCTGTCAGGGGTGATTTGAATGCAATATTCCTGCTTCTTGGCAGGGAATTGGACTGGATGGTCCATGAGGTCTCTTCCAACTCTTTGATTCTATGATTCTAAATGCTGAAAATACTGTCATCTGTGGTTTCCTCCATGTATTATATTGCTAGTAAACAGCTTACGAAACCCATAAACAGGTGAGGCCGAATTTCACACACACGCCTTTGAAATTCCCTCTGCCTTCCCAGAGAATGAGACAATGGAAATCATCCACACTTGCAGCTCTTACATAAACTATGTTTGCCTCTCTTCAGTCTCTTTGCCTGCATCTTTTCTCTGGATGTCTCAAACTAAATGTTCAACTGATGTTATAGATTCCTGGTCACTGGAGGAAAATGTCATTGCTGTTTGGGGAGTGTGTAATGATTCTTATTTAGGGAGCAAAGACTTCACACTCACTTTCGCCATCACTAAGCCCTGAGCCTTGGAGAAGTGGCACCTACTACAGAAGGTCTTAGAATCATAGTCTGGCCGGTCATTGTTTGGGCCCACGTTTTCCCACTTTCAAAGATGGAGACGATATTTACCTTCTTCCAGTCTGTTGGTGTTTCCCCACAGAATATCCCACTTCTGACACCAATTTGTCATGAATGACTTTTCAATAACTTTAAAGCATAGGTTCTTTTTATTGCAATTTCCAGTATGAGAGGGTATATCAGATTACAGAATAACATTTATGTAACGATTTCACCAATTTGTGAAATCAGTCTTTCCTTGTAGTTTTTAAACTACAGATTACTTCCCTGGTTCTCAACACGCACTAGAATCAGCCTCTCCTGTAGTTCGCTGACTACAGACTAACTGTTTTAAAATGGCTGCCCTGCCAAGTGGCAGTTGGCTCCGCCCCTGTTTCCATGGTAACCCAGCTCAACATGAGCTGAGCTGGCTACCATCCCCCCTAGTTATGCAACTTTAAATACTTACCCTTTAAAACATCTATCTATAATTATACATAACTGCAAGTTAAAAATTTACACTTCACCACAATGATCATACAGCCAGGAAAATTCTATGCAGCTACATTGGATTCACAATTACATGGCTAACAAACAAACAAAGGAGAATTACGTTTTCAATCACCACTCACACACATTTACATGCATTTATCCTCATGCATCCAAATGCATGAGAAACACCTGTTAGACCAGACCCTGCTTTCCTGCAGCCTGCCAACACATAGTTCCAAAACTACGGTCCCTGATCAAAGTGGTTCATGATCAAGTGGGTCCTATTCAGAGTGGTCCCTGTTCACATGGTCCCTGGTCAAAGTGGTCCCTGATGAAGTGGGTCCTATTCAAGTGGTCCCTGTTCAAGTGGGTCCTGTAAAGTGGTCCCTGGTCAAAGTGGTCCCTGGTCAAAGTGGTCCCTGGTCAAAGTGGTCCTGGTCAAAGTGGTCCCTGGTCAAAGTGGTCCCTGGTCAAAGTGGTCCCTGGTCAAAGTGGTCCCTGGTCAAATGGTCCCTGGTCAAAGTGGTCCTGGTCAAGTGGTCCCTGGTCAAAGTAGTCCCTAGTCAAGTGGGCCCTGGTCAAGTGGCCCCTGGTCAAAGTAGTTCCTGGTCAAAGTGGTCCTTGGTCAAAGTGGTCCCTGGTCAAGTGGTCCTGGTCAAGAAAAGGTTGGGAACCACTGATATATACCTTATATACACATATACATTTCATATATACCTTATACACATTTGTTGTTGTTCATTCGTTCAGTCGTTTCCAACTCTTCGTGACTTCATGGACCAGTCCACGCCAGAGTTCCCTGTCGGTTGTCACCACTCCCAGCTCCTTCAAGGTCAGTGGTTCTCAACCTGTGGGTTCCCAGGTGTTTTGGCCTACAAATCCCAGAAATCCCAGCCAGTTTACCAGCTGTTAGGATGTCTGGTAGTTGAAGGCCAAAAGATCTGAGTACCCACAGGTTGAGAACTACCGTTCTAGGTGTTTAAGGACGCCATCCATCCATCTTGCTCTTGGTCAGCCCCTCTTCTCTTTTCCTTCCATTTTCCCCAGCATCATTGTCTTCTCTAAGCTTTCCTTTCTTCTCATGATGTGGCCAAAGTACTTCATCTTGGCCTCTACTATTCTTCCTCCAATGAGCAGTCAGGCTTTATTTCTTGAAGTATGGACTGGTTGGATCTTCTCACTGTCCGAGGCACTCTCAGAACTTTCCTCCAGCACCACAATTCAAAAGCAACACATAGGCTATTTTAAATAATTGTGTGCTTGAAGCCACATTTATGTCCCATGAACTATAAGAAAACAAAAGTGTCACTATCTTTGCCACCAACAAAACAGTTTCAGATTTTATTTTGGATTTCAGAATAGCGAATAAGAGATGCACAACTTTCATGGTAGTGGGTTGGATTCGATGGCCTATGTGATCTCTTCCAGCTCTGTAAATCTATGATTATATGAACCTATTGTATTTTGGCTGTACAAAACTACGTATTTTGGAGAGCAATGCATCTCTCCCATTTCTGGAGCTTGCTGCCCATTGATTTCTCATTCAGATTGGTTCTACCATTACTCTGGTATTTATTTATTTTTTTACTTTCAGCTCAGGCATTGATTTGCTTCACATGTGAAGACCAGACTTCAAACTGGGCCTGCCTCCGTATGACCATTTGCCCCAAGGAAGCGAAAAGATGCATCACTGTTGGCACAGTCTCAGGAACCGGTAAGCTTATTATTACCATCATCCCCAATTGTGTCCATTATCGGAAAATATTGGAGGTGTGGCCACGTCGGATCTATCTACACTGCCATAGGTTGCAGGTTGACTCATAAAATGCACCTCAATGCAGTTATTGCATTATATGAGCTCACACTGACCATAGAATGCATCTTCAAACTGCATTATATGGCAGTGTACATGAGGCCAAAGTGATGCTCAGCAATCTGATTGTGCATTTGTTCTGTTGTGCATCAAGATACTGACCAGGTAGAATAGGCGCATATCTTTGCAATTCACTAAGAGGATTTCTTAGCACTAGGTACTTAAGAAAAATTAAGTAACTTACCCGGTGGCGCAGGGGGTTAAAGCACTGAGCTGCTGAGCTTGTTGATCGAAAGGTCGCAGGTTCGATTCCGGGGAGCGGCGTGAGCTTCCGCTGTCAGCCCCAGCTTCTGCCAACCTAGCAGTTCGAAAACATGCAAATGTGAGTAGATCAATAGGTACCGCTCCGGCGGGAAGGTAACAACGCTCCATGCAGTCATGCCGGCCACATGACCTTGGAGGTGTCTATGGACAACGCTGGCTCTTTGGCTTAGAAATGGAGATGAGCACCACACCCCAGAGTCAGACATGACTAGACTTAATGTCAGGGGACAACCTTTACTACCTTTACTACCTATGTATAGTGGGTCATGGAGGCTCTGTGTGCCAAGTTTGGTCTTGATCAGTCATTGGATGAAGGTCGCAGTGGTCTCAGGAATTGAGGGAATGTACTGCAAGTCCCATCATCCATGGTCCATCCTTGGCCAAACCAGACCAGGACGTAAAGTGAGTCATGAGAAGCCTATGTGCCAAGTTTGGTTCTGGTCTGTGATTTGTGGGGGCCACAGTATTCCGTGAGAAGTGAGTCGGGTGAAGGTACTGCAAATCCCATCGTCCATCCTCCGCTAAACTTCACCAGGGTGTGAGGGGGATCATGGGGGCTATGTGTATTAAGTTTGGTCCAGGTCCATCAGTCATGCTAGTCTGAAATAAATAAATAATAAATACTCTGCAGAATTGATGCAGTTTGACACCGCTTTAACTGCTATGGGATTGTGGAAGTTGTAGTCTTGGAGGGACACCTGCATTGTTTACCTGGCAAGTCAAAGCGTTGTGTAAAACTACAACTCCTACGATTCTATAGCTGCAGTTAAAGTGATATCAAACTGCATTAATTCTACAGTGTAGATGCATCCCTAGCTTAGTTGATCTTCCTTATTATTATATTGTGACCACACTTAGATGTTGCTTGGCCAAACATGTCCTGGTTCCAATGTTTTGGCCCATAAGCAGTGGGAGCTGTTGCTTAGACTTTCTAATTGTTATAAGGAGGAAGTTGTTTGATGTGGAGCGATAATCATTATAAAGTGAGCTAATCTCTTTATTTATGCACTCTTTGTCGAACCGTTTTTTTGGTCTGGCACTAAATTGCCTCAGCATTCTTTGCCAATCGTGTAATTTGAAAAAGATAGATTTAACAAGGAGTACAAGCCCAATGATGTCCTCCTCACAATGTAAGCTTTCAGTGGTGCAGCTGGCTGGGAGTCAGCTGCATTAAGATCATGAGTTTGAAGCCAGCCTGGGTCGGAGTGAGTTTCCAACCAATTTGTGTAGCTTGCTGTCGACCTTTGCAGCCTGAAAGACAGTTGCATCTGTCAAGTAGGAAATTTAGGTACCATTTATGCAGGGAGGCTAATTTACAATGCCATAAAAATCTCCAGCAAGCATGCAAAGAATGAGGAAGTACTTAATCAGTGTCAAAAATGGACGGTGAAGAGACAGCTCCCCTGGTGGCCAGAGTACCCTCATGAAAAAGCTGGAATGTTAAATAGCCTCTGTGTGTCTGGCTATATATGTTGTGTGTCTATGGCATTGAATGTTTGCCATGTATATGTACATTGTAATCCCCCCATGAGTCCCCTGAAGGGTGAGAAGGTGCACTAGACTAGTCCCTATGAGGATTTCAAAGGGGATGCCATGATGTAATGGGTTAACTGGAAAGAAATGTGTTGGCAGCTGGTTAGCTGAGCATGCTGAGTTCTCATTGGCTGAGTTCTCATTGGCTCCTGTCTCTGGCTTGCTGATGAGACCAACGGTTCTAACTGTCATTTCCATCTTTCACTTTGGGCAGTGAAGAGAGTGCTGGCTGCCAACTATCTTGAAGCTTGATCATTTTAAGGCATATTTAAAAACTATTTTAAATGGGCTATTTTGTTCCCTCTGTACTCTGCGTGAACTCAAAGAGACTGCTGTATATATTGTTGCCCTTTTTTAACTTCTGAACTGAAGTAAAGATACTGTTACTTTTTACACAAGCCTGGGTGACACTTTATTATACTGCAGGGTATATCTTGGTTTAATAACTGTGGTAATGCTGGGTTGTTGTAGGTCTTTCAGGCTGTATGATCATGTTCTAGAAGCATTCTCTCCTGACATTTCACCTGCATCTGTAGCAAGCATTCTCAGAGGTTGTGAGGATGCTTGCCACAGATGCAGGCGAAACGTCAGGAGAGAATGCTTTTGGAACATGGCCATACAGCCCGAAAGACATACAACAACCCAGTGATTCCAGCCATGAAAGCCTTCGACAATACATGTGGTAATGCTTCTGTTTATTTACATTAACCAACCCTCACAGTCCCTTCCCTTGCATTAAAGTCTCCCACTATAATAAAATCGCAAGAGGGATTCTCAGACTTTAGATGTAGTAGATAGTATGTTAATTTATCCCAGCGAGCAACTGTTCCATTTTTTCCCAGGCTACTTGGGATATAGACAGGCCTGTAGCAAGGGGGGGGGGGGTTAGGGTTCAAACCCCCCCCCCCCGAAATGTTTCAGATTTTTTTTTTAAAAAACCTGGTTTACTCATGAATTTTAACTGGTTAACCAAATCCCCATGCTAAGTCTATGAGATGCAAAAAATTAAGAGTCCCTCCAGAACTGCAAGCACTATCTCAAGCAAATATTGGCAATTTATTCACACTGTCATTACTTGCAGCAATAGCCGATGTAGTTGTTCTGGTACAGCTGTACCAGGAGCTCCAACTTTATTTGCTTTATATTAAATGTTTGCTTGCAGTCCTAGGTTTCAGGGACTCTGCAGATAGGTGGCTTCTTTGGTTGCAGTCATAGGGCAAGTCACCTGTCCATCATCGTTAAGTTTTGGTCCCGCCCCTTGCTCAGGGCAATTGGGAAGGGAGCCATTTTTAGTTAGTCTCAGCAAGGTAAGCTTGTGTATAGGATGTGTGCAAGCTTCCCCTGTACAAAAGCTTCAACCCTTAAGACCTTCCGGGGGAGAAAGGTCTTAAGAGTCTCCAAAGAATTTCCAGGAAAACAGCCCTAAAGACCAAAGAACTCCAGCTGGAGAACATCTACTGCCTTGCTGGTAGGTCCACTCGACGTTCGAGACGCAGTTCGACCTGGTAGCGGAGCCCACATCAGTAAGGGTTAGATTACAGTCAGCCTGGGAGAAGTTAAAAAGGGGATTTTCCTTTAAAGAAAAAGAAAGTTATTGAAGACAGTTGCCTGTCCTTCGTGGGCAAGATTAGGAATTCACCAGTTGCATAAAAGCTTGGAATCATTTGCTTAACTTTACTGAAGACAAGAGAAGTTTCTGTTTGATTGTTCATTAATAAAAGACTTTGTTGTACTTCTCAAGCCATCTAAAGACTGTTTGTGGTGGAAACCTCTGAGAACTTCTCTTTAGGCCCCCTGGCTTCCCGCTGGGCAAAAGTTGCACATCCTGTTCTAAAGACAATTATTTACAGGCCCAGCGTGCGACAGAACAGTAGTGATGCAACCAAGTTGGGGGGGGGGTGTTGAATGCTCTCATTAAGGAGGCCAGACTTGGTGGAGGTGGTTGACAGGGGTAGAGCTGCAGGCTATTGAAGGCTGCTCTGCCCCCTGCTGTGCTCTTTGCTTCAGCGTGAGCTAGGAGGCAGGTTTCAACCTCCCCCCCCTGAAATTTTCAACCCCCCCCCAAAATTCAACCCCTCCCGAAATTTTTTTCTGGCTACGGCCCTGGATATAGATGTTAACAAAGACTATTTTTTTCTGGTTGCAAAAGTTAACCGACATGTCCTGGTTTCCATCTATGAAATATTGGACAAGATCTCTTTCTCCACCAGCAAATGCAGTTGTACTATATTATTGTCAACATTTCTCTTGTAAGTAAGGGCTTCACTAATGCTTCCTTCTTCTCTTTCTATTTCCAATTCTTGATTCAAGGTAATAAGAGCAACGTGCTCATCACCAAGAAGTGTGCCCAGAGTTGTCCATCTGAACGGGATTTTCCCAACCGAACACTCAACTCTATTTTCTGCTGTGAAAACACCTGGTGCAACATCGGGCGCCCAAAATAAAAAAAGGTTCAAATAGAAGGTTTCATCTGGAATAATTCAGCTGCTGGATTCTCTGAGCTCAGATATTCCGGCCTGGAAAGGAATTACGAAGGCTCCTTGGCTTACCTGCCCATCACAACTCAAGCCTGAAAGTTTTCTTCTGCCATTAAACTTTGCATTATAAGATCCGTGAGTTGAAACTGGACTCAGCCATAAGTCTAAGTTTGCACTACACTCCATTCCATGGGGCTTAGGGACACAAATCATAACTTAGCAAATACCTGAGTTAACACTTCTCTGAGAATCTCTACCCCCTTCCCACCCAGTATGACTATTTTAGGTCCTTCAGACCACAAGATTGGTCTGAAGGACGTAGACATTCCTCATGAGGTGTTCTCACTTGGAATCTCTAGATCTTCCAACATGAATTTATGATGAGCCTCCACCATAAGTTGACCATAGAATAGTTCTGGAGGAGCTACAAAGGAGTAGAGCAGTGTTTCTCAACCTTCCTAATGCCGTGACACCTTAATACAGTTCCTTATGTTGTGGTGACCCCCAACCATAACATTATTTTCATTGCTACTTCACAACTGTAATTTTATTGCTGTTATGAATCATCTTGTAAATATCCGATATGCAGGATGTGTTTTCATTCAAATTTGGCACAAATACCCAATATGCCCAAATTTGAATACTGGTGGGGTTGGGATAGGAGGATTAATTTTGTCATTTGGGAGTTGTAGTTGCTGGGATTTATAGTTCACCTACAATATCAAAGGGCATTCTGAACTCCACCAATGATGGAATTGAACCAAACTTGGGACACAGAGCTCCCATGACCAACAGAAAATACTGGAAGGGTTTGGTGGGCATTGACCTTGGGTTTTGAAGTTGTAGTTCACCTACATCCAGAGAGCACAGGTGCTTCTGGATCAAACTTGGCACAAATACTCAATATGCCCAAATGTGGACACTGGTGGGGTTTGGGGAAGATAGACCTTGACATTTGGGAGTCGTAGTTGCTGGGATTTATAGTTCACCTATAATCAAAGAATTATGGGCCTTAAGAAGCATTGCTAACAACAAGGCAGCAGGAGACGACGGAATCCCAGCTGAACTGTTTAAAATCTTAAAAGATGATGCTGTCAAGGTGATGCATGCCATTTGCCAGCAAATATGGAAAACACAAGAATGGCCATCAGACTGGAAAAAATCAACTTATATCCCCAAACCAAAAAAGGGAAATGCGAAAGACTGCTCCAACTTCCGTACAGTGGCCCTTATTTCTCATGCCAGTAAGGTAATGCTCAAGATCCTGCAAGGAAGACTCCAGCAATACATGGAGAGAGAGTCGCCAGATGTACAAGCTAGGTTTAGAAAAGGCAGAGGAATGAGACACAAAATTGCCAAGATCCGCTGGATAATGGAAAAAGATAGAGAGTTTCAGAAAAAAATCTATTTCTGTTTTATTGACTATTCTAAAGCCTTTGAATGTGGGGATCATAATAAATTGTGGCAAGTTCTTGATGGCATGGGCATACCAAATCACCTTGTCTCTCTCCTGAGGAATCTGTACAAGGACCAAGTAGCAACAGTCAGAACTGACCATGGAACAACAGACTGGTTCAAGATTGGGAAAGGCGTACGGCAAGGCTGCATCCTCTCACCCAACCTTTTTAACTTGTATGCAGAACACATCATGCGAGGATGTGCGGGGCTTGATGAGTGCAAGGCTGGGGTGAAAATTGCTGGAAGAAACATTAACAACCTCAGATATGCAGATGACACCACTCTGATGGCCGAAAGCGAGGAGGAGCTGAGGAGCCTTCTAATCAAGGTGAAAGAAGAAAGCGCAAAAGCTGGGTTGCAGATAAACATCAAAAAAACCAAGATTATGGCAACAAGAATGATTGACAACTGGAAAATAGAGGGAGAAAACGTGGAGGCCGTGACAGACTTTGTATTTCTAGGTGCAAAGATTACTGCAGATGCAGACTGTAGCCAGGAAATCAGAAGACGCTTACTTCTTGGGAGGAGAGCAATGTCCAGTCTCGATAAAATAGTGAAGAGTAGAGACATCAGACTGGCAACAAAGATCCGCCTAGTCAAAGCCATGGTCTTCCCTGTAGTCACCTACGGATGTGAGAGCTGGACCTTCGGGAAGGCTGAGCGAAGGAAGAGAGATGCTTTTGAGCTGTGGTGTTGGAGGAAAGTGCTGAGAGTGCCTTGGAATGCGAGAAGATCCAACCAGTCCATCCTCCAGGAAATAAAGCCCGACTGCTCACTGGAGGGAAAGATACTAGAGACAAAGTTGAAGTACTTTGGCCACATCATGAGGAGACAGGAAAGCCTAGAGAAGACAATTATGCTGGGGAAAGTGGAAGGCAAAAGGAAGAGGGGCCGACCAAGGGCAAGATGAATGGATGGCATCCTTGAAGTGACTGGACTGACCTTGAGGGAGCTGGGGGTGGTAACGGCCGACAGGGAGCTCTGGCGTGGGCTGGTCCATGAGGTCACGAAGAGTCGGAGACGACTGAACGAATGAACAACAACAACATAATCAAAGAGCATTCTGAACTCCACCAATTACACAATTGGGCCAAACCTCCCACACGGAACCCCCACGGTCATCAGAAAATACTGTGTTTTCTAATTGTCTTTGGCGACCCCTCTGACACCCCCTCACGACCCCCCCAGGGGTCCAAACCCCCAGGTTGAGAAACACTGGACAAGAGTCTTCTCTCTAGGAATCTCTAGGTCTTTCAGCATGGGATTCCTAGAGAGAATGTCCATCTATCTATCTAGAACATCTATCTATCTATGTATACATACATACATACATACATTTGTTGGCTTGATGGATCTACACCAAATTTGGTACACAGACCCATCATGATCCAGCTTAAAATACTGGTGGGTGTTGGGGGGCTGATAGAGGATGATGGGAGTTGTGCTCCAGCCACATCTGGAGAGCAATGTGAATCTCACCCATGATGGGTCTAGATCAAACTTGATACACAAATTCATCAGGCTCCAACTGAAAATACTAGCAGGAATTGCAGGGAATGTCTGATAAAGAATGATGGGAGTTGGAGTCCATCCAAATCCAGTTAGCCACATCATTGCCATTGAAGATGGATCTGGACCAAACTTGATATACATCTCCTTTATGATCCAAGATAAAATACTGCTGGGATTCAGGAAAGGTATTCATAAGCCATAATGGGTCCAGCAGACCAAATCTGGAACTTATGGGACTTACAGTCAGCCAGATCTGGTACAGATTAGACTTGCAACATGACCATGTCTTTGGCTCATACCAGTTCCACTCCATCAGCTGTACGATTTCAGAAAAGATCCGATTATATGGGGATGAATTTTCTAATGAGACGAATCATAAAACTGAAAACCAAGCAATCAGTATTTCTAATAAATATGATTACAAAATTCCTAACCTAGCCAACACCAAATATATCAAATAGTATTAAATCTATTAGCAATCAAATCTTCAAAGGCTAAACTCACAAATGTGGAGTGTTGACTGTATTACTCTGCAGACCCAGGTTTAACCATGCCTATCTGATCACAATATTTGGGATACACAATAAAACTGTTCACGTCTCCCCAATCTGGGAACTTCCAGAGATGTTGTGTTATCGAAAATTATGAGATCCAGCTCCACAGGGAGCCTCACTTTTTCCATTTTAGTAGCAACCCTTTCATAAATTACCTTGCAATGTTGCCCCACCACACCTTGAACTTCAGGATGTACTCCCACAATAATCACAATCCCCACACAATGCATCTGGAAGACTCAGGAGGTACACAATGGATTTGCACAAGAGTTTTCTATCTTGCTCTGATATGGTCCAAGTTATTCCTGGAATCACTTCCTCATCTCCTTTAGTAAACTGGACTTCTCCATGAGGTTCCCACTGAAATGACCAACACCCTGAAGCACCCCTTGTCTCTCTTGACAAGGTATTAATCACTGTTTTTACTGGAGTTGAAATATCAAGACCCATTTCAGCCCATTATCGATTGTCCCACTACATCCCTTTCCAATTAAGTCCCTCTTGGGGTGGATCAATAAATTGACACAGTCTTTATTGATTTTCATAGAATCATAGAATCAAAGAGTTGGAAGAGACCTCATGGGCCATGCCAAGAAGCAGGAATATTGCATTCAAATCACCCCTGACAGATGGCCATCCAGCCTCTGTTTAAAAGCTTCCAAAGAAGGAGCCTCCACCACACTCCGGGGCAGAGAGTTCCACTGCTGAACGGCTCTCACAGTCAGGAACTTCTTCCTCATGTTCAGATGGAATCTCCTCTCTTGTAGTTTGAAGCCATTGTCCCACGTCCCAGTCTCCAAGGAAGCAGAAAACAAGCTTGCTCCCTCCTCCTCCCTGTGGCTTCCTCTCACATATTTATACATGGCTATCATATCTCCTCTCAGCCTTCTCTTCTTCAGGCTAAACATGCCCAGCTCCTTTTCCTGCTTCTTGGCAGGGGGTTGGGCTGGATGGCCCATGAGGTCTCTTCCAACTCTATGATTCTATGATTCTTCAAATTATCCAGGCTTTGAGGCATTCATATCTCCCTTGCGCAAGGAGGTCTTTGATATCTCCTCAAAGAAGCACCAAACTTATTTTGATTTCTCCTTGAGCAAGAGTGATAATCCATTGCTCTAGTAATTTGACTAAAAAAGAACCCGCTCATTGTTCTTTTAAAAGGCAGAGCTTGAAAAGGTTATTTGTGGGACACAAAGTTAGGTCTCAATATCCACAGATTCTTCAGCTAATGGAATCAACCATCCATGGCTTGATAATGTTCCCTCCACACACAAAAAATCCATGGTGGTCCTCAAACCAAACCACAATGGATGCCAATTGGCCTATTGCCCAGACAACAAAAACTACATTTTCCAAGTTCTCTATAAGGATGGGGATAAACCTGTTCTGTAATACTTGGTATGCATGGATTATCAGTGGATTATCAGTGGAGCCACAACTAGAAGTATTTCCATTTCCTTTTTTCAGTGTCTTGTTTTGTCACTGTAGTGACACCATTAACAGTGGTATCTATATTTGTTTTGTTAGAAATGTAATATAATTGACTGGTTGCACTGACATGATAAATAAAATAAATAAATATATATCCAGCATGGGCAATTCTGTTAAGAATTGTGGTAGTTGAAGTCCAGAATACCTGAA